ACCCGAGGCCATGCCTGGGGGGGAGAAGAGACCTCTGACCGTGGCAGGCACAGCCCCTCCGCCCTCTCAAGGAATGTTTCCTTGCCCCCAGGTTCCCAATCTCCTTTCCCCCATTTGCCTTATCTGACAGCTAATTATCATTCCAGAGGTAATTCCTGGAGGAGCCATGTGGGATCCATAAACTGTTCATGCTGGGGGATTTTTTCCAAAGAATCGAAAGACTGGAGAAGTCCTATATTTTATTGTTGTTGTTATTGGTATGATTATCACCATCGTAATAGCAGCCAAAATCACCGAATTAGGTTGCGGAAACTGTTATTGCTGTGCAGGCACAAAGACAAGGTTATCATCCTTGAAGCCATTTCAGTCTAAGAGGTTTTTAATTGGGAGGAAATAATATGTTCACAAGCTCTAATGAGAGAGTTTCAGAACAAACCCAGACCTAAGGGGAGGAAAGAGGAGGGAGGTGAAGCCTCAGTGCAGAGACCCCCATGGAGGGACAATTTGGGGAGCAGCCGCTGCTGGGGCAGCAGACCCTGGGGGAGGCTCAGTGCTTCTGCGTGCGTGTACACGTTGGTTATCTAACCAGCCGTTCCTTGGGCTCCAGCAATACTGCTACTTATATCATAAATTCAATGATCTTCCCTTTACTGGTCATTAATCTGCTTCGTTTCCCGACAATTTTACACTCTTTTGATAAACTGTTTGTCTAACCACTTGGAAGAAACAATGTCAAAAGCTGTACCTTAGGCGTTCACCCAGCTAATGAAGAAAATCCATCACAGGGATAGTTTATCTATTGCTTTGCTGGATGTAAATAAAATGTCAGGCTAATTTACTTCCATTAATCTTAAAGGCCGCCGCTACAATGATAGTCCTATGTCCGACTGGATTTTTTTTTTCCTTTTCCGCATAAATATTTAAGCAAGTACTGAAAGCATAAATAAATTGCTTTCTAAAAGCCAGATTATTTTTATATCCAGCGATTTAACAATAAATTTGGATTTACTTGCTAGCTCTTGCTTTTCAGGCAGCAGCCAGCCCATGCTTCACCCGCGTGGGCATGGAGCTGCTTCAGGCAGTTTTTGCTGAGCATCTTGTGGGGTCTCCAAATGCCACCCCTGAGTGCCACCCCACTGGTGTCGTCCCCAGCCAGTGGGTGGCTTCAGTGGGTGCTTGGGCTGCTCTGCGAGGCCTGTATGGGGCTGCTGCAAAGGCTATTTGGTGTCCCGTGGCCACAACAGGCAGCTCAAGAAGTGGCCCTTGAATGCAGCAAAAAGGCGTTTAGTTTATGGAGGGTGCGGCCAGCAAAGCACTGGAGCCGGCTGCTGCGGGACATTCGGGGGTCACCAGCTTTGGGGGGTTAAGAACAGGCTGAACAGGAGTAGTGTACCTGTGGGGGGATCTGGGTGGGTGTCCGTGTGCACGTGTGCGTGGGGGATGTGTATGCATCTGTGTGAACGCGTGTGCATGTCTGGGTGCATGTGCGGGTGCATGCATGCATGGGGGGGCGTGCAAGTGTGGGTGCATGCATGCATGCATGCATGTGGGTGGGATACCCTTGACCTCTTCCCCCAGCCCTGTTTTCTTCCAGCTGAAGGGCAGTGCGTAGCCACAGGGCTGTTAAACACAGATCAGGCCACTTCAATCACCCAAACTCTGAAAAGAGTTTCCTCCTCATGAAGCCCCGTGAGGGTCCGTGCCCATGCTCTCAACCTATTCCCCAAGTGCTGGCAGCAAGCAGCACATTCCCGCGGTGCCAAGGGTGGGCATGAGGGTGCCGCAGGGGTGCCCTCCAGCAAGGAGCCCGGCAGGAGCATTCTTGACATCTTGGGGAAAACCTTACAGGATTTACCGGCAGCTCTTGAAGTGACAAAGGGAAGAACAAGGAGGAGGATGGCTGCAGCCCTGGGTCTTTTTTGGGTGATGTATGGAGCAAGCGGTGCCTCGTGCCCATGCTGCAGGGCCCCCGGGAGCACTCACACGCAGACGGCTTCACTTTCCCAATGGTCCTGGCTCCTTGCTGCTGCTCTCCGCCAACCTGCCACCAGTGATGCTAGCAAGAGCATCCTTGGTAGGATGGGGGTTGCCCCTGCTGGGAGCCACCTGCACTTTGGCTCTTGCAAACCCAGGGAAGGTGCCTTAACTTGTTCCTCCACTGGTTTTTCCCTTGCTTAGCTGCTGCCACCTTCTGAAAGCCAAAACAGTCCTGCCCCAGCTCCACAGCCGGCTTGGACCGTGCCCTTTTTTTGTTACTCCACCCCAACAGGATCTGTGATGATGCCCGGTGCATGTTGGTTAAAACAGGATCACTCCTGAGATGAGGTCTTGTTTGTTAAGCACGGCCTCAACTGAATTTTTATAGCTACGTTATAAACCCATAAAAATAAGTTTATCATAGGAAATATGACACATTCATAGCTGGAGCAAACCGAACCTGACACTACATGGTAAAAGCTGATAGGGCCAGAGCAGTCCATGGGATTTCTCTGAACGGCTGTGACCACATTTCAGAGCCTGTGCGCTTTGCTGGCTGCACAGACAAGCCCATGGAAAAAATGACAAATTAGAGGAGATTAATGATCGGTCTCAGCAAGATCATGGCTTTTGCTTCCCTCATTTATCCATACAAGGCTCCTTGTTAATTCAAGAGCCATTTTTATTCACATGCATAAGTGTTTACATATGTTCCCACATGTGTTTAGCCAGCAAACTCACATGTTACAACTAAGGAAATGCAAAAAAACCTAAAAAAATCCCCACCACCTTGTGCAATGTTAAGGTCAAGCAGATGCAACCAGAGGCAAGGCAAAAGCTGTTGTTCCAGCACAGCCAAGTCAACAGTTTTGGCCACCACGCAGTGCCCCACCTTCCTCTCGCTTCTTGCTAGACCTTGGCTTACATGGGATGAAAACCTCTCTCCTAATGAAATTTCTCATTTTAATGAGAAAAACATGACTATGATTGATGCCACACATCCTAGCTAATGCTCTTGTTACCACGTAGCTTTTCACTGCATAGTTTCTGGATTTAATTATGTTACATTTAGTCTCCTGTACTTGTACAAGGCCGTGCTTGGGCATGGCTTTTCACAAGGACCTAGGATGAGTTATTTTGTTCTCCTCCATGCTTACAGGCTAAGCTTGCCTCCTGATAACGAATCCCCATGATTTGGACTTCAGCAGGGCTTCCCTGACATTCATCCATCCCACAGCGCGGCAAACTGGGTGATAACTGATGGGGTGGCGAGGGTGACAGGAGAAAGGCTCTCCCGGGCTAACTGGAGGGCAGGGCTCCAGGAAGGTGCTGTCGGCGCGCTGGGTGCTGATGTGCCCGTGGCGCTGAGTGCTGACACTTTCTGAGAGCACTGGCGCTTGTTGATTCATGTCACCCACGCCTCTCTTCATCCTCTCTTCAGCAAGAGGAAAAAGGAAGATAATTGCTTGTGCTTATCAGCATGTGGGTTAAAGTATCCCCTTGTGGGCTCTACAGCTGACATGGTGCTGAGATGGCTGGAGCAGGGAAGGCACGAATGCGCACCTCTTCTGCCTCTCCGGCCACGTGGGTGGCTGTGTTCTCCAAAGCCAGGGTGACGGGACCGCAGCACAGCGCGGGTGCCCACGTCGGTCTCACCGAGACTTGCCAAAGGCACCAGTGACTTGGGGTGCTGCAAGTGCAGAGGCTCCACCTGGAATGCTGGCGAAATGGAGGGCTGCTCCCCGAGGCGCCTTTAAAAAGCCTTCTCCTGGTGGCAGATCCTCAGCCCACAGGCTGGGAGCCAGCCGCTCCTGGCAAGCGAGCACTGAGTGCGTGCCTCGGCTGGGAAACACGCCATGGAGAGCGAGGGGCTCTGACAGAGCCCATCCCTGTATCTTTTTTCCTCCTGATCATTTTGCTTTTGAACTTCCTCTCGGCCCTGCCACCTGAGGACTTGCCTGCCTGGGATGTTGCTGTCCCCCATCACAGTGGGCTGCTGGGCAAGAGCCGAAGGAGATGACAGGAGCAGGATGGGCTCTGCCGGAGGTGCCAGCTTGCTCAGAAAGCATTTTGCACTCGATTGCCTTCTGCTGAAATAGCCTGGCATTTTTCTGCAAGCCTTGGAAAGAGTTTCGTGCAGCCGTGCATGAGAGAGGGGGCAGGAGCACTTTTCACAAGCGGCAGAGCTGGTGCTAGGTTTGCTTTTTGATCCCCTGACAGCG